AAAAAAAAAAAAAAAAAAAAAAACAAAAAAACACCCATGCTCATTTATCTTTAATATATTTCCATGTTAATTTCTCTTTAATAATATTTTAAAATATCTAAGAATTGAGTACACCAAATAGTATTTCTTTATTCACTAAACAAATGTTCATTAAGGGTCTATTATCTGTCAATTCTTCAGGATACTGAGAATAGGGCACTTAACCACAGGACGAAATCCCTGCTCCTTAACCTTATAAAGTTTATTTTTTGGAGATTATATATGAATGTATTTTAATTGCTTGATTATTGTATGTCTTAACACATACATACATATCAGATGGTGATAAATGTTACAGCAGAGGGGAAAAAGGTACAGGGGAATAACAATGAGATTGGAGCAGAAGCAGGTTCTAAACGGGGTGGTTAGAGAAGGCTTATCTGAGCAGAGAAAGCAAACACATACACAGTAGAAACGATCAGTAAAACTAAAAGCTGGTTTTTAAAAGACTAACAAAATTTATAAACTTATGATAAGACTAATCAATTAGAAAAAAAGAATGGCTTGAGTCACCAACATCAAGAGTGAAAGAGGAAGCATTACCATAGATCCTACATGTTACAAAGAAAGGACTATATTTTGAAGTTTAGGCCAATGCACCTAAAAATTTAGTAAAAATGGGTAAATTTCTAGAGAAAAAAATTTACTGAAACTGACAAATAGATTTGAATAGTTCCATATCTGTTAAAGAAATTAATCTGTAATTACAAATCTACCCATGAAGACAAATTTCAGATAAAATTTTCCAAATATTTAATTATACCAATGTTATAAAAACTGTTTCAGACAGGAGACTAAGAGAGAACAATTTGAAATTTGTTTTATGAAGTTAGCATATACTTGAAACTAAAATTAGATAAAAATGTAATATCATGGCCATTCTCTACTAAATAAAGATTAAAAACTACAAATAAAAAAAAAATCCAGTGATACAAAAGGGATTCTAAATCATGATCCAACTGGATATACTCCAGAAATGGAAGGTTAACTGAACCTTCCATAACATTTAACATTTCCTACCTGAAGTGAGAAGTAAGACAAAAATATATTTGTCCCTACTCTCTTTAACACTTTAGACCCTACTCAATATAAGGCAAAAAAAAAAAAAAATTATTAAAAGTTGAAAATAAGAAATGTAACTTGCTCTTCACAAATAGTGTGATTGTATATCTCAAAATTCCAAAAGCTATTAGAAAGAAAAAGTAAACTTAACTAAATTTCTAAAGACAATGTCAATACAGAAAAACACCTTTGTATTTCTTCATTCTAACACCAGTATACCAAGGAAATATTCCTTAAACAAGAAGCAAATAGGACCACTCAATAAAAGGTTGATAAATCAGACTTCATTAAAATAAACTCAAAAGACAGCATAAAAAACTTCTGGTTCTTCAAAGATACCATTTAGAAAGTTTTAAAAGTTAAGCTGCAGACTGAGGGAAATATATGTAGTTAAATAGTAGGCATTTTCAGTAGAAGGGCGTAGGAGGGAACTTTCTGGGTTGACAAGAATGTTCTGTATCTTATTTTGAATCGTGGCTACAAAATTGACCAAATTTGTCAAAACATCACACTGAACACTTATGATCTGTTCATTTTACTGTATGTAAATTATATCAACAGTTTAAAAAGAAAAGTTAAGTGGTTAAGGAAAGGGAAGACAGAATTACGGACCCAGAAACTAGGTCAGAGGAAATTCCTGAGAATGCAGCAAAGAGAGACAAAAAAGTTACAAAACTGAAAAATGGTTAAGAGACGGAAAAGCCATAGTGGGAAGACATAACATGTTTAAACATAGTTCCAAAAGTGGGGAGAGAACAGATGCAGTAAAGGCAATCTCAAAACAGAATGGTTGAAAATTTTCCAAAATTGGTGAAAGGCATCAATTCATAGATTAAAAAAAATTTTTTTCAATGGCTTTTTTGCATAACAGCCATCATGTTTGGTTACATGATTAAGTTCTTTAGTGGCGATTTGTGAGATTTTGGTGCACCCATCACCCAAGTAGTGTACACTGTACCCAAAATGTAGTCTTTTATTCCTCACCCCCTTACACCCCTTCTCCTGGGTCCCCAAGGTCCATTATATCATTCTTATACCTTCGCATCCTCATAGCTTAGCTCCCACTTATGAGTGAGAACATACGACGTTTGCTTTTCCATTCCTCAGTTACTTCATTTAGAATAATGGTCTCCAATTCCATTCAGGTTGCTGCAAATGCCATTATTTCATTCCTTTTTATCCAATTCATAGATTTTTTTAAGTCCAACAAATATCAACAGGATAAAAAAAAAAGCCTACCTAAAAAGACATCACAATAGAACAGAATACTAGGGACAAAAATGTGGAAGGAGGGCCATTTCAGATGATAATTAAACAAGTCTTCAGAGGAGCTGATATCTGATCAGAGGCCTGGATTTGAGAATTACAGGGCAAGGGAATAGCAAAGAGAATAAACAAAGAGACCTGTGTGACCTGAGTGGAATAAATTGGGGGAAAATAATAATAGTTTAGTTTTAGTTTAGTAAGAGTTGAGGTCACTGACAGAGCCAGGGTCAGAGTACTTCAGGAAGTATTCAATGCCATGGTAAAGGCTTTTCCCTAATTTTTCTTAAACGTGCTGAGATGAAGTCAATAAAGCTTTTTAAGCAAGAGAGTAACATTATTTAGTATATTAAAAAGATTACTCTGGTACTATGTGGAGAAAGGGTAGAAGAGGTAAGAAGAGATGGTGGACGAATGTTAGGCTGGTGACAAAGCCCAAGCTAGAGATGATGTTTACTTAGACTGCATGCTGCCAGTGAAGGTTCAGGGAAGTAGATGTATTTGAGACAGCTATCAGAATAGTAGCTAACATTTACTGAGAACTTACTATATGCTGCCCATTGCATTTTACATGTATGAACTCTTTCAATACTATTAACCACCCTATGAGGTTGATAATCTTATTTTTGTTGTGCAGGTAATGACACAAACAGGTGTGGACAATGGCCCCAGATCACAGAGGTAGTTTGACTCTACCATCTCCTTTTAAGAGACAGAACTCTCAACAACAGACTGTGTACATGAGAGGTGGGAGAATGTGGGTGGGGAAAACAAAGCAGCAAGTGTAACTCTTGGATTTGAGGGTTATATAAATGGGCAGATGGTGATGCCATTTATTGAGCTTTAATATATGCAGAAAGGTCAGGTTAACAGGAGAAGAAGTAAGTTTAGTTTTAAACAGTTTGAACTTTAGTTGCCTTTAAAGATCTATATGGAGACGTCAAGCAAGCAGGAGTTTAAAACTGTTGTCAGAACTGGAAATGTCCGCTTGGGAGTCAGCATGTAGAAAACAGTTGTTAACAGGGGCAAGAGGAAACGGGAGATGACAGAGGAACAAATCTAGAGAGCTAATGTAAAACATGAAAACTATAATTAATAATATTTTATTAGGGATTTTTACTAAATGAATATATTTTAACTGCTCCTGTCACATACACAAAAAATAAGATAACTATGTAAGACAACAGCTTTGTTAATTTGTTTATCTATAGTAACTGTTCTACTATCTTTAGGTCTCTCACATCATGTTGTGTCACATCTTAAATGCATACAATATGATTTAAAATAAAAAATAAATCATGGGTATGGCTAAGTTTGTCGAAGGAGCGATTACAAAGTGAAAACATAAGATGGTGCTGCATTAAGTGAGCCCTAAGAAACTGTGTGGAGTTTGGGTAGAGGAGGAAAGGTTGGTAAAGCAGACTGTGAAAGAGTAACTAAAAAGGAAAATGTGGTATCATGGAAGCCAAAGGAAATGACTGTTTCAAGTGGAGAAGATTCAACTATGTTGTAAGTTGCTGAGAGATCAAGGTATCTTATTTTTTTCCTCAGGCCAGTTTTCAAGCTTAAGAAGGTAGAATGTACTACAGTTTGAACAACTTTAAATGAAAACTTTTAATAAATGACTTATAAGAATAAAAAACAAAATAAACATTAAAGACATTTTTCTGACTCACTTAACTCAAATATTTAAGATTGATATCTGAACACTTCTAATCATTAAGGAATTTTCAAGTTTTTAGTGCAGAAAGTATAACAATTTAGCACTATATTTTCTTTATATTATTTGTGTGTGTGTGTGTGTGTGTGTGTATATATATATATATATATATATATATATATATACACACACATGCATATATATAGTAAAATTATTCTTACCTATATAAAAAAAGGTCTTTGGCAAGTCGCTTAGGTCCAATTATTTTGAAGATAATTTCATATGTTTCAAGTGCCTTCCGATGAACTCCACCTGGTAATGCTGGATGTAGACACTGAGCTAGGCGTTTGCCTATGGTCAGCTTTTTGGGTACTACCTGGTACTTTGCATTATTTTGTAAAACCTTAAAGAAAGCATTTTAACATAGTTGAGAAAAACAAAATATTGCATTCATTTTACTTCCATTTTCTAGCATAATATCATTTAAAATGATCATTGTAGATCTTTGTATTCTGTCAGTTACATTTGCCTATATATATCATATTTAAAATTAAAATTGAGGAAATGTTAAAAACTATTAATTTGTTTAAAAAATAAACCTGTTAACAGAATAACATTTTTAATGAAAAATAATATTTTCCAAAACAATTTATGGAGCAGGGAGGCATTTTAGATTTTTTTTTTTGGTAAATTTGTAATATTTGATGCAAGAGAAGATAGCTACATGAATCAGCCTTCAATGTATTTTTGCTACTTTGTTTGAAGTAAAGTCTGGCCTCACCATAGATATTTACAATACTTGGAAAAAGTACAACCATTGTCCTGACATATCAAATTATAGCAAGTAATTCTAATGCTTATAAGAAAACCTATACGAGATTATAATTGCCCATTTATTTTTACAAACTTATTTTTCTAATTGGACAAAACAACTTTTTGTTTTATTCATTCAACCATAACTTTCCTTAGAAATAATGGTCTGGGCCAAATTTCTGTAGAGAGATCCTATCTTACCAACCACTCAAAGGGGATTAGTTAAGTAAAGATCTTATAATAAATGTAATTCTTTAGTTTGAACCTAGAAGTAGTATTATAATTAAGTATTGATAGAATGTCATAAAGTGAAGACTGAGAATGAATACAGACTGTGTTAAAACTGGAATTTAGAAGAAATATACAAAGTCTTATTTTACAGAAGAAATTGAGGTTGAAATATTAGGTTGGTGTAAAATTAGTTTTTTTTTCCCCAAAATAAATGAAATGACTATCAAAAGCAGTATAATAGAAGAGTCCGCACTAGATCTCCTGGTTCATTAAACTTATACTAAAACATGTTTAGACTATATTCAAAACATACACACACCCACATGTATATATATACACATATGTAATACCTGCCTTCTTCCATTACAATTTTGGCTAAGTTTCATTAATAACTTGGGTATTCTACTTTTAAGTTATCTAGATACCATGAAATCTATTTTCATGACTATTGATTAATCTAAAAAAATGAATTATGTACCTAATTAGGCAAATTAATTTCCATCATTTAATGACTTGTCTTTAATACCAGTTCCCAGGTATATCTTCAGAAACAGACTCTTCAGAACTCTTTAGAAAAAGAAATAACCTAACTACTTTTAAGCAAACTTGTACTTTTAAATGCAAGTTCTTGTGGATGTTGTAAAGAAATAAAGAATTATTCAAACCTCAAATGATAATTGTCAGAAGTTCTAACATGTTAAAGAGAAGCTTCTGTATCGAATTTTAAGATCAATCCTCGGCATATTGAAAACGTAAACTTTTCTTTTTAGGGTATCAAAGTGATTATCTGTCATATCAGGTTGAAAACTAGTGTCCTGGTGTGGTATTGTGAGTGAGAGTGTGTGTGTAGGTTTTCATCCATGTTTCCTGGCTCACAACTCCCACAGACATTGTTATAATATTGGGGAACTTTTGGGCCTCAGAAGCAGGCCTCAAAAAAACAACTTCTCTCTTTTTCCTGCCCTCTTCTCATCTCCTTTTTCTCCCTAAGGCAGGAATCTTCCCCTACTTTTCTATCTTGGAGCTGGCCATAATGAAATTCTCTGGAGTACCTGGTCTCATTGCAGGTCAAAAGACTCCCATTTCAGAAAGGGTCCTGCCCCATACCCAGAAGGAAGGAATGCGGCGCAGAGAGGCCATTTCTACACGGCTGTCCATGCTTCAATCATGCCAATCCAATGAAGTCTCAAAAGGCTCAAAATACGTTTCTAGGCCAGCTGAACATGTGAAGGATCCTGGAGGGTGGCACTCCTGGGGACGGCATGAAAGTTCTACATCCCTTCACCCATACCTCACCCTATGCACCTCTTTACTTATACCCTTTGTAATGTCCTTTATAATAAACCAGTAAATGTGTTTCCCTAAGTTCTGTGAGCCGCTCTAGCAAATAAAACCTAAAGAAAGGATTGTGGAAATCTGATTTATAGCCAGTTGGTCAGAAGCACAGGTAAAACAACCTGGGGCTTGTAATTGGCATCAAAAGAGAAAGGCAGTCTTATGGGGCTCAGCCCTCAACCTTGTGGGATCTGATACTATCTCCAGTAGATAGTACCCAAATTGAACTGGGGCACATTAAGCTGGTGTCCATGGTAGAACTGATTGCTTGCTTGCTGATAAAGGGGAAATAACCACTTATTTTAGGGTCATAGAAGTCTTCTGCATTGACTGTAGTGGTGCGAGAGGAGAGGAAAAGCTATTTGTATTTTTTTTCCCCATACACATTTTGTATGTATTTTGAGAAAAATTTCTTTCCTTATTTGTATGTCAAGCTATTTGATAGCCTGGGTGTGGTGGCTAATACCTGTAATTCCAGCACTTGGGAAGCCAAGGTGGAAGGATCACTTGAGGCCAAGAGTTCAAGACCAGCCTGGCCAACATAGCAAGACCCTGTCTCTAAAAAAATAAAAATACTAATAAGCCAGGCATGGTGGCATGCCTGCAGTCCCACCTACTCAGAAGGCTGAGGTGGGAGGATTCCTTGAGACCATGAGGCTGCAATGAGCTATGATGATGCCACTGGACTCCAGACTGGGTGAAAGAGTAAGACCTTGTCTAAAATAAAATAAAATAAGTTATTGAAAAACCACTCCTTTCCCATCTACCCCTTTAGTATTTAGAAACACTCCCATTCAGTAACAATTAAAAAAAAAACCCTTAACTATGGGTATGAGGTGAAAAAAACTGATGTTTACAAAAAAAAAAAAAAAAAAAAAAAAAAAAAACCAAAAAAAAAAAAAAAAGGTCAAAACAAAGAGCCGAAAGTTGATCAATGATGCCACCACAGTAACTGAATAAAAAACAGACGTGTCAAGAAGAATCAATCAAGAACAAACTGCAAGGCATAACCAACTGCTTGTATATAACTGCCTTTGTAAAAAGTACCAAATTATAACTACAGCTTGCCTAGATACAAAGTGTTTCCTTGCTGCTATATATCATTCGGAAAGGACACAGGAATTTTTGCTTTCCCTCTGTCGGTTTTCATTTTGCTGCCAGGAATTCCAGGATCATATCTAATGTTCAATTACAGAAATTTACTAGCCCTCATAGTTAGCATAGTTGCTTCCTTCCTTCTCGTTTTTATAGTTAATAATCGTAGTGGTAACTATATTTTTCAAGCACTGTTATTTCTTTCAATTAAAACTTCCAAAGCCTTAACAATATACTCGACTATATAGACATGCAACTCACAAAGAAAAACAGCACTACCAAGAGTAACCCAAAGTTCATTTATGTTTTTGCATTCTTACTTCAAGATTTAGAGAAATCTAACAAGTACAAACACAGATTTCTAATATTTACTCCTTTTATGAAATGGATAATACAGACATACCTTATTAAGTTTTCCAAGTGCTGATATCAAATCTGCCCATTCACTGGAGTATTCAAAATTCTTTAGTGCTTTGTCAATTGCAGCTACATAGTTTCTGTATTTGGAGTCACTCAATAACTCCAGCTCTTCTGTGTTCATCCTCCCACAATGTCCCACTAGAGACCAGTTCCAAACTCATGTAAAGTCATTACCTACAAAAGAGTTTGCAGGAGAAACCAAGGTTACAAAGTATTAAAATGGGTTCCTATGATCTTACTACAAAGGCAATGACTAACTTGAAAATGTTTCCTACTGTTAGCAGTGGTTGAAACTCTTTTCAGCTAGTGTGCAGGGTCATGGAAGTATTCAAAGACAGCCTGAAAGATAACTATTTATGTGTTCCTTCCTAGGAATTGGAAAAAATGACTGTGAAAATTTATTATGTAATAGCGTAGAAAATTTTCTTATACTTATTTCAATTTAGAAATCATGTTGTTTCCCTGTCATATTTATGTAAACATTTCTGATATATATGCTCCTTTACTTTGTTTTGATCCTAAAATATACTAAGTCTGGTTAGATTGGCAGAATCAGGAACATAGAAGGAAATTTTAAAAATGAATGATTTGGAGATCTAAATAATAAGTGAGCATCTAGTATGAAGGCCCATTAGCGGTTTGGAATTAGACTTTACTTTGAATAAAACAGACAAGAACATGTGGTGATTTAAAGCATGTCCATAGCTGGGTACAGTGGCTCACACCTGTAATCCCAACTACTTGGGAGGCTTGAGGATGGAATATGGCCTAAGGTCAAGGTTTTAAGACCAGCCTTGGCAACACAGTGAGAGCCTAAAAAATAAAAAATAAAAATATATTTTAAAAAATAATAAAAATTAACGAGGCTTGGTGGCACCTGCAGTCCCAGCTACCCAGGAAGGTGAAGCGGCAGGATGGCTTGAGCCCAGGAGTTCAAGGATACAATGAACTATGATTGCCCCACTGCACTCCAGCCTGGGTGACAGAGCAAGATTCTGTCTCTATTAAAGCAAAACAAAACAAATCCACAAATTCTTTGATATTTCTTTGAAAAAGTAGTGCCTAGTCCCCCAGCACCGTAGGGTCAACTTTGTGACTCATTTCTAACGAAAAGAATAGGATGGAAGAGACAATGTTTAATGGCCAACAGGGTCATAAAAGCACTTTAGTTTCCTTTACTCTCTTATCATTAGTTCTGGGGGAAGCTAGCTGCCATGTCATGAAGACACTTTCAAGGAGCCCTAAGGAGAAGGCAGGACCCGTGACAAGGAGCTGAAACTTTCTGCACAGCCATGTGAGCCACCTTAGATGTAGATCCTCCATCCTCAGCCAAGCCTTAATTTGACTGTGGTCCCAGCTGGCATCCTGACTGTAACTTCATGAGAGACCTGAAGCCAGAATTACATAGGCTAAGTCTCTCAAATTAATGACCCACAGAAGATTTTGTTACAGGCCACTGAGTTCAGGAGTAATTTGTTACAAGCAATAGATAATCTAGGATAAAAGGAAGAATTTAATCACGGTTCCACTTAAAAACCAATGTCGTTCCCCTTTAATTTTTTTGGTATCCTAAATGACTTCTTACTAATTTAGTACCTTTCTCTAGAGCTGGGTGCATGGATCTACAGGAAGATCTAAGAGTGGGCCTCAGGGGATGCTAACACAATTCAACCAAGGTAAGAATAGTCTTTTCAATAAGCAGTTTGGGATAAGTGAATATTCCATGTGCAAAAGAACAAAGTTGACTTCTTCACATCTACACAAAAGCTACTTTAAAATAGATCAGAGATCTAAATGTAACAGCTAGAACTATAAAACTCTCAGAAGAAAATATAGAATTAAATCTTCGTTACCTATGACTAGGCAAAGTCTTCTCAGAAATAAAACCAAAAGTCGGGTGCAATAGCTCACGTCTGTAATCTCACCACTAAGGGAGGCCGAGGTGGGCGGATCGCTTGAGGTCAGGAGTTCAAGAGCCTGGCCAACATGGTGAAACCTTGTCTCTACTGAAAATACAAAAATTAGCTAGGCGTGGCTCATGCCTGTAATCCTAGCTACTCGGGAGGCTGAGGCAGGACCATCACTTGAACTCAGGAGGCCGAGGCTACAGTGAGCAGAGATCGCACCACTGTACCCCAGGCTGGACAACAGAGTGAGACTCCATCTCAAAAAATAAATAAAATAAAACCAAAAACATAAGCAACAACAACAACAAATTAGATAAATTGGACTTCATCAAAGGTAAAACTTTTGTGTTGCAAAGGATAACATCAAGAAAGTGAAAAGACAACTGAGAGAATGGGAGAAAATATATCCCTATATATCTGATGAGACTCAAACTAGATAATAAATAACTCTTCTAAGCCAATAATAAAAGGACAAATAATTTAAAAACGGGCAACAGATGTGAATGGACATTTCTAAAAGGAAAATTTACAAATGGAAAGTACATAAAATGACACTCCACAAAATTAATCATCAGGAAAACAAAACCAAACCACAAAAATATTTCATGTCCAGTAGGATGGTTATAATAAAAAAGACGACAGTAAGTGTGGGTAAAGATATGTGGAAATTGGAACTCTCATACACAGCTGGAGGAACATAAATTGGTGTAGCTCTTTTGGAAAACAGTCTGGTAGTAGTTCTTCAAAGTTCAACACAGAATTACTATAAGCCAGAAATTCCACTCCTAGGTTTAGTGTAGACCCAAGAGAAATGAAAATATATGTCCACTCAAAACGTATGTGAATGCTCACAGAAGCATTATACATAACAGCCAAAAAGAAGAAATAACCCAAATATTCATCAACTCACACACAGATAACTAAAATACAGTGGAATATTATTTGGTCATAAAAATGAAGTAGTGATATAAACTATAACATGCATGAACCTTGAAAACATGCTAAGTGAAAGAAGCCACTGATATAAGACCATATGATTCCATTTGTAAGATATGTCAAGAATAGAAAAATCTACAGAGATAAAGTAAATTAGTGGTTGATGAGAGTCAGGGGAGAAGAGGATTTGGTGGAAAATGGAGAATGAACTCAAAACAAATATAGGGTTTCTTTTGGGGATGACAAAAATGTTTTAAAATTGATTGTAGCGATGATTTTACAACTCTGAATATACTGACACCATCATATTATACACACACACACACAAATATACATATACATATATATACATATATATATATATATATAT